CTCCGCGGCACCCGCCGCGCAACCACGACGAGGAGGAGGAAGAGGAGGATGAGCAGGAGGAGGAGGAGGAGGAGGAGCAGGAGCAGGAGGAGGAGGAGGAGGGGCGGAGTTCATTCCCCGCCGAGGGAAACAGAGAGGTGAGGAGGGCGGGGGGGGGATGCAACGCTAAAGCCCCCCTGAGGTTCCTGCTCGCCTCACGCGCAGCAGGGGTATGTTGGCGGCGCGCACAAGGGGGTAGGGGGAGGGGGGAGGGCTTCTGAGAAGGAGGCTGCTTCTTAGAAGGCGCCGGCCTCACATCTGCAGACAAGGCCCGCGGGCCTCTGAGAAGCAGGGTGCTTCTAAGAAGCCCTCCCCCCTCCCCCCACCCCCCTCTGCGCGTGGCCGAGCTTTCGCCGGCCGCGCCCCGCTCGCAGGAGGACATGGCCGCCCAAGGTCCGTGCCTCCTCACCGCGCGTCCTGATTCTGACTGTTGGACCATCACAGCGCGGAGGTCTGAGCAGATTTGTCGGATCGGCGCTGGGCCCCCCTCTCGGAGTGGCCGGCGCTCGAGAGCAGAGGCCGCTCGCTCCCGCCCTCGTGGGCGAAACACACATAGACCTGCTCCTCCTCCTCCTCCTCCTCCTCCTCCTCCCGCCTCCTCCTCCTCCTCCTCCTCCTCCTCCTTCTCCTCCTCCTCCTCCTCCTCCGCCGCAGGGAGTATGGGCACGCCTCTCGGGACCCGAGCTCGCGACGCGCTCGGCCCGCTGGGCTCGGCCGTGGACGCCTCGTGGGCGCCACGCCGTGCGCGGGCTGTGGGTGGGGCGTCTTCGCCACCTCCTTCGGGCACGGACGGAGCCCCCTCGAGCAACACGTGGCCTCCTCCTCCTCCTCCTCCTCCTCCTCCTCCGCCTCCGCCTCCTCCTCCTCCTCCTCTCCTCCCTCCTCCCTCTCCCTCCTCCCTCCTCCTCCTCTCCTCCTCCTCCCTCCTCCTCCTCCTCCTCCCTCCTCCTCTCCTCCTCCTCTCCTCCTCCTCCTCCTCCTCCTCCTCCTCCTCCTCGGGCCCAAGCCTGGCGGGCGCGAGCCTGGAACATGCTGGCCGCGGCGCCCTCTCCGAGAACGGAAGACCGACAACTCACCGATCGACGTGTCAGGGCGGGGGCTGTGTCCACACCCGACGCCTGGAGGCCTGAATAGGGGCACCAACACCAAAACAGGGGGGTTGCCTCCACCAGGGGAGGATGATCCTAGATTTTGGCGTTGGTGTTGATGTTTCGGCCACCTAGGTGGCACGAATAGTACCACCATCACCGAAACTAGGATCATCTGCCCTCGGTGGAGGCACACCGCCGATGTTGGTGTTGGTGTCAACCTCTAGGCCTCCGAACCTAAGGGGGAAAACGGAAAGCCACCTCGATACGGCAGCCCACGCCGCCCTGGGGGTCGGGGCGGTTCCCCAGACATGCGAGGTCCTATTTGTTTCAGGACGGCGTCCCTGGATGTCCTTTTCCCCAGGGCCGTTTTTTCGTCCTGAATCGTTGTTTGACGGTCCCGGGGCCCGGCGAGGGCCCCCCAGGGCCAACAATAGGCAAATACCTCCAGACCTGATTTTTAAACGGCGCGATCATGTCTGGGTCTTCCTCCCTTGACCCAGAGCCCAGAGACTGCCCAACAACCTCCAGGGCCGGCTCCCCGCACCCCCGACCCCCATCGCGCCGCGGCGAGCGGCAGCACCGACGACCCCATAGGCGACCCCGCCACTCCCGGCGGCGGCGGCTCTCCCGCGCACATCCCTGGCTTGGGCGCCGCTGCATGAGGGGGCGATGGATCGAAGCTGGAGACGGAATTGCGAGGGAACACAAGGCTCCCGTGATTTGCTGCCGCATTCTCTGGCCCTACAGAGCTTCTTTGGGGCCAGCAGGGGCCCCCTCGGGGGCCCGCAAGGGGCCCCTTTCTCTGCAGCCCCCGCTGCCCTCCCATTGATGTTCGCCCTCCCCCCCCTCCTCCTCCTCCTCCTCCTCCTCCTCCTCCTCCTCCTCCTCCGCCTCCTCCTCTCCTCCTCCTCCTCCTCCCTCCTCCTCCTCGTCCTCCGCTTCCTCCGCGTCCTCCGCGTCGCCTCCTCCTCCTCCTCCTCTCTTCGCCTCCTCCGCCTCCTCGGCCTCCTCCGCCTCCTCTCTTCCGCCTCCTCCTCCTCCTCCTCCGCCGCCTCCTCCGCGACCTCCGCGTCCTCGGCGTCGCCTCCTCCTCCTCCTCCTTCCTCCTCTCCTCCTCCTCACGACTCCTCCCGACTCCTCGTCCTCACGCGTCCTCCGCGTCGCCTCCTCCTCCTCCTCCTCTACTTCGCCTCCTCGCCTCCTCCTCCGCCCTCTTCCTCCTCCTCCTCTCCTCCTCCTCCCTCCTCCTCCTCCTCCGCGACCTCCGCTGTCCTCGGCGTCCGCCTCCCTCCTCCTCCTCCTCTCCTCCTCCTCCTCCTCCTCCTCCTCCTCCTCCTCCTCAGCCTCCTCCGCGACCTCCGCGTCCTCCGCGTCGCCTCCTCCCTCCTCCTCCTCCGCCTCCTCCCCTCCTCCGCCTCCTCCTCCTCCTCCTCCTCCTCCTCCTCCTCCTCCTCCTCCTCCTCCTCTTCCTTCCCTTCCTCCGCGACAGCCACCCGGCAGCCAGGGCGCCAGGGCTGGAGGGGGGGGGCGAGGCTTCGGCGCCCTGCCGTGGCCGGCGCTCGAAAGCAGAGGCCGCTCGCTCCCGCCCTCGTGGGCGAAGCACACAGATAGGCCTGCTCCTCCTCCTCCTCCTCCTCCTCCTCCTCCTCCTCCTCCTCCTCCTCCTCCTCCTCCTCCTCCTCCTCCCTCCTCCTCCTCCTCCTCCTCCTCCTCCTCCTCCTCTTCTCCTCCTCCTCATCCTCCTCCTCCTCCTCCTCCTCCTCTCCTCCTCCTCCTCCTCCTCCTCCTCCTCCTCCTCCTCCTCCCTCCTCCTCCTCCTCCTCCTCCTCCCCCCTCCTCCTCCTCCACCTCCTCTCCTCCTCCTCCCTCCTCCTCCTCCTCCTCCTCCTCCTCCTCCTCTCCTCCTCCTCCTCCTCCTATCTCCTCCTCCTCCTCCTCTCCTCCTCCGCCTCCCCCCCTGCCGCAGGGAGTATGGGCACTCCTCCTCCTTCTCCTCCTCCTCCTCTTCCTCGTGGGCGAGGCACACACACTCTGAGCGAGCCCCCGAAGCCGCGACCCCGCGGTCTCGGCCATGTTGCATACGAACACCATTACCGTGAAAGGTTTCGTGCTTCATCTTAATGTCCAACTTTGGAAGTGATAAATCTTTTGCAGACGACTCAACCGAATCCAGGTATTGGAAGTGCTGAGAGTAGCCTTCGTGCTACGATCCGCTGAGGTTCATCCTGTGTGGGGGGCGTTTCTTCGCGGGTGCCCCGCGCGGAATGTACCGTCAGGGAGCCCACAGAAGACATACGCGCCCAGCCACGCAAAGGAACACGAACCCCCCCAACCGCGAGACCGGCCGCAAAATACTGGCGCTCGCGCAATGCGTGCTGTTGACAGCAACGTGGATTCCTGTACGAATGCGTCCTTCTTTCGCGCCTGCCCCGTGCGACCGCGTAGCCGCGGGATCGCGCCCCCGAATCCAGACTGCTCTAGGGCGTGGATGTGGACACGTTCGCCGATCGTCACGCCCCTGGGTTATTCTGCACCCAGTCGGCAAGTCTGCCTCACACCCTGCCGAGGTCTGGAGTGGGGGGGGGCATGTTGGGTCCCCTGACGTGCGACGTCCCGATTTGCCAAGCAGGGGCCCCCGAAGACCCGACGCTTGTCCCAGGGCCAACTCCTGATCCCCAATCGTTCTCAAGCGAGAGTCCCCGGAGACCGAAGACCGACAAAAGCCGCTTGTGACTTTGCTTCGCGACGCGAGCACGCCTGGACTCTGAGAAGCAGCGGCAGCAGATACATTTCTACTAAAGAGGCGAGGCGGGGAGGCTAGTCGTCGGGGCCCGAGTGCAAGGTAGCTACGCTGGGCCCGGAGGCAGCCTCCGAGAAGGAGGAGGAGGAGGAGGGGGGAGGAGAAGGAGGAGGAGGAGCAGCAGCAGGAGGAGGAGGAGGAGAAGCAGGAGGAGGAGCAGAAGGAGGAGGAGAGGGAGGAGCAGGAGGAGGAGGAGGAGG